ATGCGGACGTTAAACGGTGAAACAATGCAATGAGCGATGTTAGTGCAGTTATCAACGTCAGTGAAATAAAAGCGAACACTCGGAGGTAACGCGGTGTCCTTGATATCGCGAACGTCGCTCGTTACACGACACGATGCTGGAAAAGAATCCGGGTCGATGCCGACGCCGTGGATTACGTTAACCCACATATCCGCAACAATCGTCACCTCCCCCTTCTTCCCGCGCCGCAAGCTTGACCCATAATTCCGGATAACTATATAGACACAATTACCGCGTCGCGTTGCAATTAGCGGTTAAGTTCAACGAGTCGCAATAAAAATCTCACCTCGGGCGCGATAGCCGTTTCTGTGAGAATTTAGTGTATCGTTTAAATGAATGTGTTACACCTCTCACTCGTTCTCCTGGGTTCATTCACTCGCGCGACGGAGCCTACGCTCTTTTCTCTCTCCTTCCTTTCCACTCTCCCTTCCCCTCTTCCACTCCTTGCAGCGCGCGCGTGATCATTGAGTGCTCACAAAAGGTAGACGCAAGAAACGGTAACGAACTTATTAAACCGACAGATCGATAATCACCAATCCTAAAGAAAATCGCGAGCAAAACCTTTTTAAGAATATAAAAGATTGTAAGATTAAGAGAAATCAAGACACGTATGTAACAATAACAGGAACTGAATCGATTGCCTTCTGTCTGCAAAGCAACATGCGTATACCGACGTTTATTGTAAAGTAATCGGAAATAAATCTTCGCAAGATTTCTAGAAATGTAAATTCAATGAATTATTAAAATATAATTAAAATATATAATTTACATTAGCGCATTATTAGCGCAACGAACACAATTAACCCCGAAAAAGCCAAAAAGTTTTTGAAAGTTGAGTAACTAGGTCCCGAAAGAAAGCCACGAGGAACTTGTCGCCGACGAGGAACTTTTCGCGTAACGCATACGCGCGCATGTAGGCGCGAGCGTACGACTTTTGCGGTAGCCATAAAAAGGCATCATACAAAACGCACGGGTGCGTGCGCGACGTTGCATTGAAGAATGCTAAAACGCGCGACAGAACACGATTGAAAGTTCTGATAACTCCAAGAGAGACTAGCGATGTACAATCGCGACTATCTTTACGTAACGCGAATATGTGCGCTCGCGGATAAGGCACGCGTCGTGCGAGAGCGGGACGTGTGTTAAGGCATTGAGATTTACGTCCCAAGACGATGAGAGTGCAATGAATTTTTTGCAACACACTCTACGATGTTTACTTAATCGAGTTATCGAACCTCGCAATCACGATTTCTTAATTTTGTGCTGATACCCGGAGATCAGATCGAATTCAATGATAACGCAGCGAATGTATAAACCTTTTCAATTGGAGAGATTGTTCTGTACGCCATTGATATGATATATTAAGATGTAACTTCTTTTCTTTTTGAAAAATATTTCTAATTTTATATTAACATTATTGGCTTCATATATTGGTTCTGTCGATTCTATAAATATATAGAACTTTGCTTTCGAGCTTTTTATAACAGTAAAATATATATTTTTATTTTTATATCACGAAAATAATTTCCTTTTTGTTTATTGATTCTGATTTTGTATATTTAATTTTACAGACCAGTTGCAGTTGTATAAAAACGTATTGTTCGAACATTCTAGACTTCGTCAGATTAAAGGAAACGTAATCTTATTACATAACGCGGATGAATGAGGGGTATCTAGTACAGCAAAAGTCCATGATGACATAGAGCGAAGGAATGTATTATACGTGAGTAATAATTTCCGTGAAATCGCGCTCGTCAGGCAATTGATTTATTCGAGCAGAATTCCTTTAAAGTTAAAAAAAAAATAAGTCAATTTTCTTGTAGTTTTACATAACTGAATAACTTTTCTGCAAAAAACATTTACATATCTATATTTATAAAAAATTTATATGTTTAATATAATAATTTTCAGCAAACTATGCACGAATGATCAGTATTTACAGATTACAAGACAAAATTGATTACCTTTAATTAATTTGCCATTTATTTTAAAACACACAACATTCAAATATGCTGTACTATTTCTAAAATTTTTGATTATTGATTCTATACAACGTAATTTTATAAGATATTATTGTTATTGCTTATATGAAATATAGAAAAGAAAAACAGCTGTTATCAAGACTGCGTAGAGAAATTATTCAAATGAAGCGTTTTGGTTACACTTGTATGTATTTTCACGAAACTTGATTTCGAGACATCAGGCAATTATTTCCAGCAGCGTTCGATCTCGATTGGCAGTAAAGGAAAGTAGAGAAATTAGACATAAGTTCCATCGAGCGTGCCCTCGGTGTATCCTTAGCGTTCAAAACGCTGACATTACAATTGTGTTCGTCATACATTTGTGTTTTTTTGCGCGAAAGAAAGTTTAACAAGAAAAAGAGATATATACGTGAAACATTGAGCCGAGAATAATGGCCCAGATTGTGTTTTCTAAACGATAAAGTTAAGATACTGTGATGCAAAAATGTAGCACATATTATAGAACAACCATATAAAAAAATTGGGATGAAGAACCTATCCTCACGTCTATGTGTGATGATTCAAATGAGCTCACATGAAAGTATTACGTATTTAAATGTATGCAACATTCTACAAACTCGAACGAGTACTATTTACTAAAAGAAAACACATACTTTTACGTAAGAGGCATTTAAAGACCATTATGCTAACATTTGTTATTATGACTCCAAAATTATTCTTCATATTCTCACGAGGACAATAGCTTTTACGTATACAGTTATGTTATCTTACATTTCAGACGGTAACGGCGATGTTCTAGAGACACGCGTGGCCTCCGACTGAGCTTATTAAAGCATTTAATTTCGTTAATGCCGCGAGTTGAACAACCTAAGCAGCATTTTCATCGTTTCCTCATTGACTCCTCTTTCCACAGATTGAATCGGACAGAAGAGACAAAAAGAAACCGAGATATTTCACCGTACAATAACTATTCAGGAAAAAAAAACAATTATAAATGCATTGAATTTCCGTCCGTATTACGATAAATTCTTAATTATTCGAGACTCGATTAAAGAAACGAGATATGACGAGCTTGACGTCTGCTCACGCAGTGTTATACACGCGACAGGTCTGAAGGGGTTTCAGGCTCGCGATGTGTCACGGGCACTTATGAATTTTTAATATTTAATATTGTTATTGTAGCGCGAGTGTTATGGCTGTATAAATATCTCACGGCTCGTATTACGCACGTTTCACCGTGAAAAGCTAGAAGACGGATTTGCAGATCCCGTGCATGCGAACTGTTCACACTGATGAAAGACAAAGTCACTCACCAGGCTGGATAGAGGCCGCGCGGCGACGCGCCACCCGCCCTGATCTGCTCGTTGACATAGCCGCTTCTGGGTACGTTAAGGGCGCTCCTGATGCCGACGCTGGACCCGTCCAGAGTGCCCGGTCCGGGTTTCGGCACGTGACTGCTGCAGTACACCTCCTTGTCGTTGATCGTGTGCTGATTGTTGTAGTAGGTCTTGAGGGTGAGCTTGGTGCCGCAGATCGCGCACTTGAAGCAACCCGCGTGGAAAAACGTGAAGTCCTTCAAGGGACCCACCCTGTCGACCTGGTAGACGGTCTGAGCGCACCTCAGACACGTGCTCTCGTAGAAGTTCGGCCGGTACATGATACCCGCCTCTTGAAGGACCACCTTGACTATTCCGCGTTCACCCACAGCACCGAGTCTCCCGCCCGGCTTGTCGTTCTGATCACCGCTCGCTGCAGTCTCGCTCGGCACAGTGTTTCGCTCTCGATGCGTGCGACCTTGGAAATTAAAGGCCTGGATCAGGGAATAGAGAAATTACCTCTCACCGGCTGGGATAAATACAAGGCGACGCCGGCGAGGCGAATAACCGAGCATTAGAGGCTGTTTAGAGATCGGCGCATGACTCTCGCGACGTAAGCGTCTTTTTCTAATTTCTCCTTGATTCGACAGAAAATCGATCCTGTTCCTAATTATGAAATTTGATGCGAACAAAAGTTAATTTCTAACCGATAAATAAATTTGTTCTTGTAAATTCTGCTATTTGCAGGAAAAAAATCACAGAGGAATGTTATTTTCACCGCTATAAAAAGTCGTTAAAACACAGCAAATTTTTATCTATAAAATTTTCGTGGAAATAAAAAATACAGAGATAAAAAGTTTATAAGGATTTTACTTAGCTCCGCAGTTCTCATACTACTTTAAAACCTGTTACTTGCATCTACTTAGAGATACTTTTATAAAGTTTCTTGTACACGTTGAACTTTTATAAAGTTGCACGCGTTTAACAATTCCTTTTCGAACGACGGATATGAATGTACGAGACGCCGAAGCTGGGAATCAAACGCACGTGAAAGAATTATACGTAACAATTAGTTGCAACTGGTAATTATGGCGGTAGACTTCTCAGCAGCGACGGTAACACGCGAGCGTAGTACATTCGCGTTTGTTTTACGCTCCAATTCGACAATGTAGCGAGTTTCTTTCCTGGAGAGCCCGAATCGCGCGCACCGTTATCGCATGCAGCGCTGATACATCGTGAAATTTCTCATTTTATCGGCAATCCGGTTAATTCGCTCTCTTAAATAAATCCTTGGCGCGTCATAAGAGAGTTTTATATAGATAACGTCTATTACGAACTGAAAATGGAGATGCATAAGGCGAGTCTCTGAATCGCCGACAATTTCCTGCGAAATTTTGCAACAAATTATTGCCAATAGCTCTCGGAGTAGGCGACTAAAGAGAGGTAATTTCAACACCTTTAATGACCGCGATATGCCTATAGTAGAAGTCGGCGAGATTTTCCCACGTAGTGTTCGACTGCACTTAATAGAATTTCTACTGCGATTCTCAGTACCAATACTTGAATCCACAGTTAACGTATCATTTCTGTACTTCCTTTCCCATATCAGTTCAGGTAATTGTATACTATCAAGTGCGGTAATACGATTATAAAAAATAGAAAGCTATAAATATACGGTAATGAGTAAAAAACCGACTAATGATTCTAGTGATCCATAATAATCAACATTGTCTGTTTTAAAAGGAAATAATGTTATTACCGAGGAAAAATTTATCTCTTTTCCACGTTATTTACTTCAAAAAGCGTTTCTCAGTTGTCAATTCTCCGCGAAACCAAGCCACGGAAAAACAGTTTAGCTTAGATTAGTTGAACGCACTACTTCTCGCATCTATCTATGTTCGCAATGCTTTCTAAACTCTCATAATGCCGCCAATATCACGGACTGGCAGTCTAATAAACGTCCTTTAAGACTGAGGCTGTACAGACGCCAAATACTTTTTCATTTCTTAACTTTCCCTTGCCAATAAGAAGTGTTTCGAGTGTCAGCGGTACGGAAAAGCTGCTCGACATAAATATTCTCCTTCTTATTGAGAGACATATAAATTTATGTCTCTCGAAACAGAGTAAGAAAATATATCAATACACTATAAAATAAAATTGATAAAACCGTAACACTGCAAAATAAAGTTGAAGAGCAAAAATTAGAAATTTCTCGCGTGATCGATTTCGCGAAACAATTGCAGATTGTTCATAGCGAATTCTTCGCGTATGGCGACTGGAACAATAGCGCTTGCGACATGCTATCAGCGATGCATTCATAAAGCCCAACGCGTGCCTATCCGCTTCTCCTTTTCTTTTCGAATTCGCATTCTCCGATTGTCGAGGTCATTATCCTTTTTTTTTTGCTTTCGTAGCTTTGTAACACTTCGCTGTAACAGTTTTTGTTCGCGACGAAATCGATTCGTGTCCGCCGCGGCGATCGTCGTCATTCCACGATGACGTGCGCCGTGCCAATGGAATGTATCAGAAAGTTCCTCTTCCGAAGAGCGGACACACGCGCGGTGCACACCGCCATATCGGGAGAAAGCATTTTGTGCGTCGGTGCGCGCGTATCGCGGCCCCTCTCATCGCGGGAGAGTATGAGCTAATTCTTTGTAAATGAGGCCACGTTGTGTATGACCCGCTCTCGCCATCGCGGGATAGTTCGATTATCCCGCAGTTCGATTCCTCACAAAATCGTCGTGAGATGTATCCATAATTACGTTAGAACGAATATTAAACATTTCACAATCGCGCGAGGCATGTGCGAAAAGGCGCACGTACGAAATTATCGTCCATTATTAATACATAGTAAAGTTGCATCAAGTGAAAGTTATGTACAAGATGCACTCAGCTTATCAGGGCTTAGAATCTAAATATATTTCCGCTAGGATGAAGACGATGTTGCAAAGCAGGAAATCGACATTGGTTCATTCATCTGCTTTCATATTTTATTATTTGCGCGCATAATTTTATTTATACACTTGATACGTAAATGGATGCTATTGTTACCATCTGGTTCTACGATATTTCATCGACGAGCTGACGCTTATACTTGCCACTATCGTATGTATAATCCCGCCTATGTCGGTAACTGCCGGCGATGGAACTAATAATGCGTAATATTGATTATGACGTAACTGTGCCCGATAGCGTTAACAACGTCTTGCATCCAGTTACCTGTGTATACACGATACTCGCCGCGCAGGTGTAAGTCCTGTTATCTGCTAATAGAATATGATAAATCGACCCATCGCAGGTCGCCCGCCCGTGCAGAGCCGCGCGGATAGCATAATTTTCGATACGTCATCGCGCAGGGAATATATTTCAATCGGATGATAATTTTCGTAATGGAATATTATCCGATTAATGCGTATCTGCCCGGCCGAGTGCATACGCGCGTTTATAACGGAAATCCTTAACACGTCTCATTAAATCGCACATTTCGCTCCGCGCGCGTGCGACTGGCGAAGCGCGGAAATCATAAAACCCTCATAAATTTCGCCGTCGCGAGCGACTTGTGCGCGAACGAACGCAGGTGCGGACGTTGAATTTTTCGCGCTTCAGAGTTATAATAATAATAATAATGTACACAGAAATTCCAAGCTGCAGTAATTTCAACCAAGAGGTAAGCAAAAAGATGTTAAAGAGAACGTATTTGATTTCAAAAAAAGAAATCCGGAGGAAAATAATTTTGCAGAGCCTACTGACAGCTGAGGAAACCTGAGATTTAAGTCCCATTACTTTCCACTTAGATCCGCCTGACCGACGACGACGCTTTGCGTACGCCGAGAACGGCGAGACTCTCCGTGGAATGCGATCGGGGCGGTACGATTATGGCGAATTGCATAACTCCGGGACGTGGAGCGGGCAGCCGCCGGCAATGCAATGGTCGCGTAATGGAGCGTTGCTCCCTTATAAATCGCACGGTCTTCCGGCGATTCGACGAGAGAGCGCCGCGTCATTTATCGCGGTGCTCGTTATAAAAAGCCCGATGGCGTAATCGCACCTACACGCGCCGCTCGATACGCCCGATCTTTGCGCGCTGATAAATCCGATCGGATACAACGAACCGAAACCGTGGTGAGACGAGACGAGAGACGGCGCAGTGAGTCGCACGAGCGAGAGAATCGAAGAAAGCGGTTTCGGGAGAGTAAAGAGGAAGCGGCGACGTGACGCATCGGAATCGCGTCCCGCGCACGTGAAAATTATTTACGACATTCCTCGCATCGTTTATCGTGCGATAATGCCCATTCGAATACCCGTGTCCCCATTCTGGCCCACCTTCTCCTAGGTATTTACGCCCGCCGCGCCGCGCGCTGGCCCGCCACGAACACGCGCGTCTCGCCGTGCCACGCATGCTGCGAGAGGCACGAGAAACTTTATTATGAGGCAAATCGCGGGGAATGCGGCCGCGACTCTCGATTCGGATATGCGCGCGAATGTTGTTTCGCGAAAACAACAAAGTAACGGGAAACGTCATGCAAATCAGACAAGAAATGTTGCATGGCGTGGCGTTATTAATTCCGTGCCAGTGGCTTTCGCACTCTTCGAAGATTTATGTGCAAGTTTTTTATTTAACAAAGTTTTGTGAGATGATAAAATCTAATAATAAAAATTAAAAAAAACAATAATGCGAAAGAAATATTACAAAGTGTGAATGTCATAACTATGAATGTATTTTACATATAAATGAAAAAAATTTCTTACGAAACTATTTATGGCGACGATGTTATGTCATTCTAAAGGCCGCCACTAATGTAATGTATAAATTATCTTTCACGATCAAGACATTACGTATCATATTTTACTAATGTTAATTAACCTCAACTATAGTTTGATTAATTAATTAAAAAGACAATTGAATTCTTAATCTCTTAATTTCTTTTTCGACTGTATTCGACCTTTCGATTCCTCGCTGGCGGTATTATTTGTCAAGTGATAAAATAAAATAACGGCGATAATAAACCTTGAAGTATTTCAAACTCGTAGCGCGCATAAACGTCACGATACGTCCATTGACGGTTCATACACACGTGTCCCACAATTTTGGTCTCACGATATTCGCGAGCCGACAGATTCCATATAGCCGTCGAAGATAAATATTGTATAATCGTCGAAACTTAAGAAGATATTATATATGTAGAGAATTTCTCTAATTATTCGCGAAAAAATTTGCGAATATATTTAACTCTTCAAACTCTCATAAAATTTATTAAATATAATAGAATTAAACAAATGGCAAGCATGCTACCATAAAAGGTCTTGGAATTAATACACATGAAAAAATAGATACTTAATCACAGATCACTTGGACAAATATTTCTCCTCGTTTATTTAACACTTGCAAAACTCGTGAATTCGCAGAAAATGGTAATTCCGTGTTTGCAAAAGTGAAACAACGTTGCTTCTCGTAAACGCAAATACATTTATTTATCCGGCCCGATATCACGCGGATACGTACGTCCTCATAATCTTCTCTTCAGCGTCGCCTGCGAGCAGTCTCGACGACTGGTTCCGTGACTGCCAGGCATGTCTCTCTTTCTCTCTCTCGTTCTCTCTCGACTCGTGTGGTCCTCGGAATCGCCCTAGGCACGATCGCTCTGCAGCCAGGTGAAAGATCGCAGGTGACGGCGAGCCTTGAGCACCACGTAACGACCGCGCGCGCGCGGTATCCTCGCGGTCCGCCTCGGTCTTCCAATTATTTCCGTACCACGCATCGAAATCACCAGCGCGCACCTCGCTCCGTTTCGCGGGCCGCGCGCGCACGACACGGATGAGGAGGAACACGAAGGGGAAGTGAAGGAGAGGGAACGAGTTGAATGGGCCACTGAGTCCACCTGCTTCAGCGATCGATCCCGATGTCGATCGGCTCGATGGAGGATCCGCTCGCGACAGATCCGAGACAGATCTGTCTCGCGGACGATCGCGGATGAGTCGCGGCTACTCTCGAGCACTCCCGCGAGCACTCTCGTGGATTATGCACCGACGACCACTTTCGACCTTCCAGCGGGCCGCGCACCAACGTCTCTGACACGCTTTCGGTTGTCTGCCACCTGGAATGAGGTCTCGGCACTAAGCGAGGCGGCCCCGCGAGTCGGATCGGACCTGAATATCGCCACCTGTCTCCGTCGACGTTCCGGGAAGGTCTGAGGTGAGAGGAACGGCCATTTTGAGGCACCACCGATGGATCGTGCAGGTGGCGCTCGCTGGAGAACCGACCTGTGTCCTACCTGCGTCTTACCTGCGTAACGGTCACTCTCTCGCGCGCGCTCACCTGGCGAGGACCCCGGCTACGTCGATGCTGTATTGCGAGACCAGATGGTCTTCCGACTTGCATTTTTTCTTTTCTCTTTGAAAGTAAATAAATGTAAAATATACATTTCCATTTGTTGGACTTGTTGCGGGCAGCGGAAGCCCACTTCCTGTCTGAGCCATAACTATTTAATTGCATTGATTCACTCCAAGAGAATTATTCATTTATGATAAATTCATGGCAGTTTTATGTTACAGCAGATCTTTTCTGTAGGTGCACAGTTGAATGTTTTTTGGACAATATTGTTTATTCAGGATGATGAGCGTACGAGATACATTGGTATGATCGCGGAGTGTCACAATAGTGCGCAAGGAAGTCATCGAGGAACTGTCTTTCTCGACTAGCTCGCCTTGATTCGCTCGACTCGACTGATTTACATGCTCGGAAATGCACGCATCTCGGCCTCTCAGTTAGCAACAATCAAAAAAATCCTAACGTTCGCAACGGTGTATCGCTTTCTTCTCGGAACTGTTTGTCGCATGGCATTCCGAATGTTCGCAAACGCATACAATTATTTCTCCGAACGCAAAATGCTTATAATATCGACATTAAAAGTGGTCGCGACAATAAAAAGTTTTTAATTTATAAATAAATGCCTAAATAATATAGTGAAAATCTCGTCCCGTGCAATATAGCTATTAAATTCTAATACTTTCGAGAGACACCGAGATAATTCTATCGCTTATTTATTGTGTCTCATAATTATGCTACAAACGCATGTGTAATGACATGGCACAACGATCTGACAGATGTTGAAACAGATCTGTGGATACAAGGATGGATTATGACATATATGGTTAATGAAGCTGCTAACAGAATTCAATACAGCGAACTGCGTTTATTGGCGGCGACAGTTGCAAATCGCGCATTTGCAAAGGTCACTGCTTTGCATCGAGCTCGCATAAAATTTATTCGTCGAGTTGCTCGCTTCGTCGGGATCGCCATTTCTAGGCAGAAAACGCAAGATTGGCGTGTGCCTACGCGCGAATGTTTCACACACGTGGGAAGAGCGATTTATGAATAATGACGCAATAGAAGGCAACGACAGATTACATATTACTCGAACATTACCCGAAGTTCATATGCTCTGTCACGCTCTATTTAATTCTAACGTTTCACTGCGCCGAGCACATTTCCTGTTTTATAAGAAATGGATAAGCTTAGCATCAGCGGAAAACTAGGCAGCACCCGTGGAATTATGCAGTTCAATAAACTTTATTAATAGAATTATTTCATATCTTATCAGAATGTGATAAATAAACAATACGTTTTTTTCGTGTCACGCCAAATGCAAATGTTTACAGCGATAGCGAGGTGTGCCAACAAATTTACTATGCAAATTTGCGGACTAGACATGAGTAAACTGGTCAGCTTCGGCTAGTGTCAGCATACCGTTAATACCTACGGAATTTACATAATTATAAGCTTTTCAGTGTTGAACATCAACATGTTTTTCTTTCTTCTTTAAAACTTTTTAATTTTTAGAATGACAGCTTCATTTTTTACTTAATATTAAAGAAACTTTTTCAGAATTTTAATTGAAACTTTAAAGACAGAGATATGCAACATTGAAAACCAAGAAGAGCTACAAGCACCTCATTTTCCCGTTGCTCATATAAACTGAAAGAAAAAAGGGCGGCCGCTCTCTCGCGTCTTCGCAACGGCGAGACAAATGTGGTTGTGGATAGCTTCTTTAAAACGGTTCTAACATCTAAACTACGCGTACGCGGCAGCGTCGCGATATATTTACGCGAACGAGGAGACTCCGACGAGAAAACTGTGGCAGCGGTCCAGCGGTTACGGAAATAGATTTCGGCGGTGGTGGCGGCGGTGCAGCCCGCCGCGGACGAGCAGCGCCGCTGAGCACCAGCGCCGAAGACACCAGTACCGTGCCGACCAGTTCCCGAGGAAAACCGGAAAAGTCACCCCGGCCGAGGTGTCCCACATGAGCGTGAGTGCGATATCCGTTCCCCGCCACGAGTGCAACCCCCGGTGCGTCTTCCGTTTCGATCGCGCTGCACGTACGACGACTATTTGCAGCGCGCACAACGGGAGGTCTTCCGTAACGGTATTCCGCGTCGTCTTAATGCCATTTGTTCTCACCTTAATTGGAAAAGAGTCGCTGCTTGCGATGAGGCATCGAATCGATGGGATTATACATAGATTTTGGATTGTTGGAAAATATAAAATCGCATCTTCGATACTTGTGCGCGATATTTCTCAATGATAAAGTTGCGGACGGATATAGAAGAGTGTTACTGGCCAATCTCTCTCGATTTCAATCGCAGTGATGAGCTCGTCGAGCTTGTAGATCAAACAGGAAATCGAGATTGTTAGCTCTCGTTGATTCAATTCATCGTATAATTACTTTATTTGCTTTAAAATTTATTTATATTTATTTTATTAGCAGAGTTAGTTTTATTTAAAATAAACGTTCATAAATTTGATAAAATAATTGTGAAAACTGGCTTTTCGGTGTTTTCAACTGCGTTATTATGAGATTAAAAAAGGAGTGGCAAAGTACAGCCAATGTCTGAAATAACAGAGTTAATAAGTGCATTGAAGATTCGCTTCGTCGAGCGGCATTAATGCGCGCAATACGATATTTCAGCGTGATTCATACGGTTTCTGACATGATAGGTCAGCCGTGTGTCGTCACAGTCGCACAGACTGCAGACATTATCTAAATCGGAACTCTCGCACAGTGCATCGACTTGGAGCGCGCACGGCGCATCGGCGCGCGTTGGAGACACACGCACCAGTATCGGAACGTGCGTTTAACTTTGTTCGTGGAACGCAATCCCGATTGGAACATCAACGAGTACACAAAGAAATGATGACGCGATCGCACACGTGTCGTAGAAGACAACTACTAACGTCATACTTATCTGTTTCCGCAGGAAATCCAAGTAATCTCATTCCTAATATGTGTATTTTACACGTATATGAATTTCACAGAAAATCTTTTCATTAAATTCACGAATTTTGTGAGAGAAAGATTTAATGCGGAGTATTCGACGTTTATAAACAAGTTCTTTTATAAAAGTGAAGAAAAATGATTTTTTCCTATAATTAAAAAATATTTATTGAAGGTTTTGACGTTGAAAATGAGAAGGAGAATTGTTTTATCTTAAAAAGAGCCCTTTATCAGTATCCACGTCTTTGCTATATGCAATTGTCAGTCTTCGCGGCTGTCGCCGCATTTGTGCAACCGTCTTCGTGATGCGGGTACCAGCGGCTAATGGAATAACGTAACAAAAGATAAAGCAGAACTCGTTTCTCACACTACTACGCGGAAGCTTGCGCTCGTGAATTTAGCGTACACGCGTTATCTGCGACTTGTAACTTCGACTGTGACAGTCGCTTCCGGCTTAAGGTCCCTTATCGGATTGCACCGCGCATACTAACCATTATCTAATTATTCCGTAACTATGCGATACCGCGCGTCGCTGTGGGAAGTGTGACAAAAGTATAAGCAGATCTGCAAATTGCATCGCGGACTCTCACATCCGTTCCGAACATCAATACAATGCGAGAACGTACCTGAACGTAAAAGAAGTTTGCGGGCAGAAATTCTCTTGGATAAACTAGAAGTTGGATGATTTCCAATTTGCGCAGACGTATGCAATCTGAACGTGAAATAGTTTCGCGATGTACGCACGATTTGCATTCCTGATTCTTTTTCTTATCTTGTCACGCTTCGAGGGAAAAATTGAAAGAAATTGAACAATTACAAACAATTCTTACGTAATAACAAATAGATATATATTAACGAGTAATTTCTAACAAAGAATTAGGAATTATAACTAACGTTTATCTCTCTTATATAGATCGCGAATTTGCCGCAATCTCCTGCCGCGCAAAATAGAAACAAAGTCTGCACTGCAAAAAGAACAGAAGAATATACGTTCTAAAGATACGGACGACTCCAATTCGAAACTAATTCGCGTCTCGTCTACTAAGCGAAAACTTATCACGGCGCAACTACGCTTGCCATTATTCCACTTGGATAACATCATACGAATATCTTCAATTAATCTAACTTTCCGACAAATTCGCGCGATGCGCGGTAAAAGAGATCCAAGGCGGCTAACGAGAAAATAAAACGAGTCAATGCACTTTATGCAATTTAAAACAAGTTAATGTAAATATTAAAATATTCATCAAGCTGAATTCTATTTAGATGGTCATTTGATATTAATTATGTTCAAGCAGGTGATCCAAAATATCTCGGAATCAAATTTAACGCGTTCGATATTTGACGAAAGAAACATATAGGAAGAAAGATATTGCCGTCACCCACGCGGTGAAAAATAGTGTCGCGCGCCACGCGGCTCGGCTTTATTTCTAGACGCGGAACACGCTTTTTCCCGACCTCAGAAATAGACCCGGCCGGCCCCAGCTTCCGGCGGTGGATGGCCGTTTTGACGTCACGCTTTCCTACGATGATGCCCACTCAAAAAAACCTCGATTACACGGCAATGAGATTATTTAGACTCGAACGCGCGAGCCCAAGGTGCGATATCAATTCACACTTGGCACTGTTATGGTGGTAGAACATTGCCAGAACTTTCCGAAATCGCCGAGACTTCGAGCGTTCAGCTCGAAGCACTAATTCTACTGTTTCGCATTGTATTTGATTACTATTTCCAAACATCTATTAATATAGCCAAATCATTTTAGAGAGCACAGAGTTATCATAATATTAATTTACGATACGCATGTTAAAATCGTCAGAAATTTTTTAAGAATAAAGATAATGAAGATGCACCAATGCCGTCTCGTTCTGCAATAAATTATTATCATCTTTCAAAATTCCACTTTTGTTTTGTAGAACCCGGGAGCTGAAAAATGGCGACCGATGGCCATATCGAATCCGTCCACCAAGTTGCGAATGGCAAGATCGATGCCCCATTGGGTCATGGTGCGTTTTTTCTCTTTCAATATTTTATTATTAATTGTCGCTTTTACTCTAATTTACTACAATTGTTTTTACTACAATAGCTTCCCTATCCTAGTTCTTGTATAGAAAATAAAAATATACAAAAAAAAATGTACCGAAGTGTATTTTCTAATTTTCTTCTATTTTATCGTGCGACAAAAATGCAGCAGCAGCAGCAACAACGGGAAGCGGAGCAGCAGCAACGCCGGCCCCCGTCGCCGCCGAAAATCCCACCACCGTCACTCTCCGGAGATTGTGGTGACCCCGACTACGAGATTATCGAGTTCCCGACCCGACCGCAAGCCCAGAAATCCTCCCCGACGCCTGCCAAGTCGAGCGCCGGTAAGTGCGCCCTGTGCGGCACCGAGAATCTCTTCGCGCGATGCGACACGTGCAACGCCAACTTCTGCGAGGCCTGCGACGACATGAACCACAAGCACCCGAAGCGGAAGGGTCACGTCCGCAGGAGGATCCTGACCGATCAAGCTTGCCGAAGCCGACCGCCGCTCCCGCCGAAGGGCGAGAACCTGTTGAATCCACCGCCGATCCCGCCGCCGCGCAGAAATCGCAAAACCACTCAGGTAGGCTGCATTCTAGCCTAAAACTTTTGACTGCCCGTGAATCTTCTTCCAGGCACCGACGCGCCAGTCGTCGACCGCATAAGTCCGCGATGTCCTCCCCTCCCCCCGCAGCGTCCACTGCATCCCCGCAAGGACCGTTCCGGGATCACTCGAGCTCGACGGAGATCGGGTTGCGGCTGTACGCATTTCGCGATCGAGCTTCTTATTTCTTGATGGCGATCCGCCAAGAGTGATTAACGTTCACCGGAAGCCTCGTCTTCGTCGCGCCGAGTGCTCGCGGAGGTCGATTCGCCCCGTAATGCTGATTCTTACGGCGTTGTTGGATAGAACTTAAAATACGACGTATAGCTTTATACGTCAAAACGTCACACCGAGGCAGCCGAGAGAGCGTTCTTAAAGTGTTACCGCCCTTGCGAAAGCTTTTGATGTTGATCGTTAATGTTGTCTAGCATCTGGATTTTATTTTACGATCAGACACATTATTGTACATTGTCGTTGTTTTTTAATACACCATGTTGCCGCAAAACACTGATGCCGTATTCACTGAACCTGTTCTCTCATCCAGTCTCTCGCCCGTGACGTAACGACGCGGAAAGGAGCGAGCGCAGCGCGTCGGCGCCGTCGTAATGTCGGGCCGCTCGTCGACACCGATTACGGTGTAATCGGATCGTTTGCCGCGGATGATTTCTGTGGGTGCGGTGAATATGGCAGGTTACGGTGAACACGGTGAACACGATCATTCTCGCACACGATCCTTTATCGGCGACGCATCACTCCGTGCTTTCGGTACCGTTACAAATACCATCTAGATTTATGTTCACACTCGGTATATCGCCTTCTTTTCAGCATGCACGGACTGTCATCATCTCGAACCTGCCACGCTCATACGGAGCGATTGATATTTCAATAACTATTATTTGCAAGATCTTTATTTATTATATTTATTTTTATTTATGATATTAATTTTAATTATTGATATCCAACCTGTTGTATTTATTTATTTATTCCTTTTTAAGCCCGTATCATTTTTAGAGGAGCCTGCTTCTAGAGATGCCTTATCGTTTACCACGATCACACGACGATTCTCTCTTTTTCGTTAACAACATTAGCACAGTTTCGCAAACAAACATCTACAGTCCTCGAAAACACCCCGAGTGCTGTTTCTCCATCCACGATATGTAATTAAGTCAAAGTTTCGCGCTTAGGCTAAGTCAGCGCTAGCCAAAGGATCTGCGCATCTCCCTTTGCTCGACAAAGTCGGAACCTTGAAGCACAACTTTTGCAATGCAAGACCAGGGTCCTCGTCGTTGGACCCGGGTGCGAGAGTGTCGAAGTCTACGAATACTTTGAACACATCTTCCAACGATGCTTCTGGAACGGATAAAATGACCACGCTTCAGGTGAGGAATTATACTGCATGATAAAATGGTATCAACTTTTTACTTTTACTTTTTTTTCGCTTTATGTATTTACTTAAGTAGATAACATGATTTTAGAACCAAATAATAATTATTTCTAAACTTAATTATTTTATTTTATTTAGTTTAATTATTTCTTTTATTACAACCTGTACGATTGTGATTAACTGTTTGCAATTATTTTCAGAATTTTTGATAAACTGCTACTTTTTAAAATTACTTTCGAATCTGATGTAGCGATCCAAATTTTCAGGAGAGATACAGAAAATATCAGGAAGCGATGAGAGCCCAAGACGCGAACAGACGAAGACATCCGTCTACCGACACCTCGAGGGACACTTTGAGCGGAAGACCGCTCAGCGTAGGTAGTCCGAAATCAGCACCACCGCTTCCACCTCCGCCACCACCTAGAGCCATGATACAATCAGCCAGCGTTTGCGACTTGTCCGCCGCTCACATGTGGAATCCGGGAATGCATCAGGTACTTTCTCAAACAAGTTGCAAAATTTTATTTTATTATACAATCCTGTCAATTAATTTCTCCCTGATTTTTTTTTATAATTCAAAAAGAGCAATATTGAATAATTTGAAATATTTAAACTCAGTGTGTAGAGAAAGTTCGAAACTGTTTCAGGCCCAATCGATGGCACATTTGGGGCCCGGAGGTGTGCCGATGATGTGGTATCCGCCGGCTAACTCCGGCTGGGACATGTCGATGGGAGGCTCCACCGTGAGTCTGCATCACCCGAACATGTGGGGATATCCTATGGGCTATCCGTCAGCGCAGATGCTGCCCCCGCATTACCCGGGATCTCTTTCTAGAGCGCACAGTCCAGCTCGGAGCGTGAAATCCAGCAGAAGATCGAGGGCGCCGTCACCATCTCCCAGTCTGAAGTCCAAAAAGTCGTACGCGTCGCGATCACGATCGAGGCGATCGCCCGGGTCGCCGTCGGACGCGAGTTCGGAGAACTCCGATGAGTCCGACGTAGATGACAGACTCTCCCGCGGGTCCAGAAGCAGACGCGGCAGCGTGCCCAGAAGCATACGGCAACGAAGCTACCACGACGACGATGCACGAAGTATCGCGTCTAGAAGCCGACGGGAGTAAGTAGAGAAACGAGATAGAATCACTTTTTCAAAATTTCAGATATATTTGAGACAACAGATTTAGAATTTTAGATCTTTCTTCCATTTCAAAATGTAATATGATTATATAAATATAATTTTTATTTTTTTTTGTTCGATTTCCATACATTTTTTCTAGAATGTTAATTCTTGCAGAACAGATTTAATTCCGCTAATATTAAAATTTGCATATGTATTACATCCGCAATCACGCTCGCGACGATCGATTTTTCAGAAGATTGATATCCGAGGAGAGAATGATGAGTGGCGAGGATCAATGGTCCGAGAGTCAATCTAGCAAACGATACTCGACGCCGTCGAGAAGCTACGATGATTATCAGAAGAGCAACACCGTCGCCTCGGGACGTCGTTACAATCAGGACGATCGCTCGGCTGCCAAGACGGATCCTCGGCTGGATCGCGTGCAGAACGGGACCTATCGCGACCGTCAAAGACGAAGCACCGACGAGGAGTCTTCCGATCGAAAAGTAAACGCGCCTGGACGAACGCGCGTGACGAGTTCATCCGACGATCATTTTGAGCGAGTGGAGAACGCTTTAAAGAGGGCCTCGTCCCTTCGAAGGGACATAATGCTGGACGATCTAGAGCGCTCTTCTACACGTCGCGATTCTCGCAGATCATCCTTCGAAAGCGACGGTCAAGTGAGAAAGACGCCTTCTCGGGATGTGACATCGCCGAGAAGAACGTCGGAAGAGCGAGCGCGTCTTCTGGAAAGACAATCTTCCCAAGGTGGACATTCAGATCGCACGAACAAGGACGAGATCGAATCGCGCTCGACGAGGAGGGAACAGCAGATCCGCGACATCTCGCGAGATCGCGAGCTCCTCGCGAGAAGAGATTCGTTCCAGCGAAAGGATACTCCCGATGACGTAGACAGGATCTCCGCCAAACGAAGTTCCGGCAGATCCTCCCTTGAATCCGACAATCAGAGTCTCAAAAAGACACCTTCCAAGGAGACACCGACGAGAAAACACGAGGACGGCAAAGATTGGAATTTACCTAGAATCAACGATCTTCAAATTACCAATCGTCAGCGATCGATCGAGAGAAGTCAGCAGGTGAAAGATTCTATACGAACGGCTGAAGCTCAGCAGAAGAGACAAGAGAGCGGCGATACGAAGCAGCAGCAGCAGCAGCAGCAGCAGCAGCAGACGCGAAGATCTCAGCCTCGAGAGGATCCAGCGAAGACAGAGATGATCGAAAGTCACTCGAAAGTCACCAATGTGGCATCGAAAAAAACCGTATCTAACGAGGCGGCGGGTTCGATGGAAATTCCGAAGGAAGAATGGGCCTGCGAGCACTGCACGTTCATCAACAAGATCAACGATCGCGTGTGCGTGGTCTGCTGCAAGACGAGGAGCAGCGCGCTGCCGCCGAGCACCTTGGAAGACGATCCCTCGGAGGCCGATCAAGCCGAAGCGCAAGCGCCGAAGAATGAAACTCCGAGCAGCGTCGGCAATCCCAGTCCCGATCTTGAGAAGCGAGCCAATCTTCCGAAGATCTCGAACAGCGAAGAGAGCGGCGACAGCGGATCCGTCAAGAACAAAGGTAGACCGAAGCGCAAAATCAGCTTTTCCTTCGGTACCAAGTTGTCCAAGTGACGTCATGCGTAACGCTTCCGACTTATACGTGCCCTCGCCTATCGGTCTTTCCGTCCAGAAATGCGAATGATCCAAATGATGTTTGTGTATGTTTTTCATATTTTTTTTTGTTTTGTTTCTTTTTTTTTACGCAAAACGGCAGTCACGCAGAAGCCGTACAAACTGGTTGTTCTCCTCTTTTGATGTATTCCCTTGGATGAATAATAAAGAGACATGGAAACTGTTTTTCGTACACATGCAACAAACGGCAACCAAATGCATAGTCGTATTTGAAATTCGGCCATCTTCCGCACATGTCTGAGGCACTATATTATTCATTCAAGTGATGCGACGGTTTCAAGCACGAGCGTGCATTTGGCATATGTTCCTTTATTCCGGGACAAACTATCGATGAAAATCATTGCCAAAGCGCTTGGCTCGGCGACGTCAAAATGCGCCGGTGATGGCAGATTTATTTATTTCGATAAATTTGTAAAAAGATTTACACAGCTGTATAATTTAGAAGACTTTTTTAAACCTTTTCTCTGCTACTCAAAGTTTTGTAATATTCAGATGTTAATGTGTATTATATTATTAATAATATAAAATTTGCAAATTGATGAATTTTAATTAGATGTACAGCGAATTTTGATTAGATATATTTCAATTAATACACATATATACATCACTAATTCTCATATTTCACACAAAACTCGCCACTTACCCTCTCAATTTTTTTTTATTTTTAAAACAAAACATATTGTGAATGCGCACTTTTGAGTGACCTTGAAAATAGTTTATAAAAATGTCTTGCTTGTGCAAATTCAGAGTAGCAACAATTTGTCAGCGTTTGTCTATCGAGAGTTGCGATTCAATCGTACAACAAAATAATTTTTAATTAAATTATAAGAAAAATTTATGATTCACAGATGCGATCGCTCCAGACAATGATCCTCCCGTAGAAAGCTCTGAGATTACGGCTGTAGTTCCGCAAACGAGAGAAGTGTCGTCGGAATTGGCAGCCGCGACATCACCAGTTGATGAGAAATTATCGTTAGAAGCAGCATCCTCGACGTTAACGTCTTCTTCGACTGCGAATACCTCCCAGACAGACACGAGCACCGCGTCACAGGGGGAAAAAACTCGAAGGAAGCTTTTAAAGAGCCATTCGGTATCCACGGGAACGTCTCCTCCGCCGCAAAGTATCTCGACTCAAGTGAGAATTAAATAATATTACTTAGAATCGACGCCTTCCATAAATAATTGCAGTTTTTGTATAGATATAAGATCGAATGGTAAAATCAATGTCATGCGAAATATTTTAGACGTACGATTATCTGCCTGCGAAAGGGACTCTAGGAAGGTCCGCGTCGGTGGCGACGTCAAAGAGCTATTTATATTACGACGACAGCGACGGAGAGGTGAGCGAAAAATTGTGACTAAAGCATAATTAAAATATTAATTGAACTATAATTAAGCGTTGAATAAATGCAGTTGAAAAAGAAAATTTATTAAATTCTCTAATAAAACAAAAAGTCAATGGATAAATAAGTTATGCAAATAATAAGCATCTGAGAATGATGCGTAAAAGCGAGAGGATGTATAGACATTCCGAGATGTCTGTGTGTGTTTGTGTGGTGAGAGAGAGAGAGAGAGAGAGAGAGAGAGAGAGAGAGAGAGAGAGAGAGAGAGAGAGAGAGAGAACTACGATAAAATTCTTCCTGGAAAGATAAGGTGTCTCGCTTCCGCGTTGTCACGATCGAGCGCACTTTTCACGCTTTTCTAGTAAAAAGACGAGGCGGAGCGTCTGTTCCAGGAGCAGAGCGGATTCGCGAATAGTCCCGATCTGTACCCGCGGGCGCTCCAGGAACAGTATCTTCAGCAGCTGATAACCGGTCAGCGGAGCCGAGAGCGGACCCGAAGAAACTCCATCGATTCGTCCCACCTCTATTATCGTTCCAGGGTAAAACTCGCTTTGCGAACTAAGCCTCGCCGATTTTCCGTCGCACACCCCGTCATCCTCAATCAATAAATTAGCCTCGGTGTGAACGTAGGCAGGATGATATCTTTATTTTCTTTTTTTAGCGCTTCCGTCCAACCGCTTGATTCGTACGTTTATCATACGCTTATTATACGCACAGTTCGTTTTTACAGCTATTAGCTCTAATCTAGACACGCACTTAAACGGCGCACGATTAAAAATTAATCCATGACGGCGGCATCCCCTGCGACCGGCCATGAATTATCATAAAGTAATGCTTGCGGTGCGCTTGCCGATGCCGATGAGAGAATCGCCAACGGCGATACTTCTGCATTGCAGGAGCCCAGCCAGCCGCGATACGTGGAGGCAGGCTCCAGTTCCGGCCAGCAAGGAGTCTCCACGCTGACGCGACAGGGATTGGAAATAGTGGAGCTTTTGCGGGAAGCCGAGAAGCAGGGATTCACGACCGACGACGTTCAAGTCGCACTGGCGCAGGGCGCGACGAATCCGATCGAGTGGCTGCAGACGCAGTGGCCGCATCTGGTGGATACGGTGCGGGTCCTGGCGATCACGCAGGGCAAGGAGCTGAGGGAGAACAGCGTCGGCATCATCTCGCCGGCCGAAGCGAAAGAGGCTCTACGATCGGTCAAAGGTGATATGTGGAACGCCGTCGCGGCGGCCGTCCAGCGCAGACAGCAGAAAGTGCGTGCGAGGAAAAGCTTAATAATCCCGACGGATTTATGGCACTTCAATCACTATTGATTTGTTGTCCTTTCGATTGGCAGTGCGAACAAATCATGGCGAAAGGGAATTTCACGCTCGCGGACGTTGTCAGAGCCCTCGATAATAATGCCGGCGTCGAGGACGCCGCTTTGCTCGAGCTGCAGAAAAATCAGCTCAAGCCCTTTTTAATGAGGATCTGGGGTCCTCCGGTCGGGGTGGAAAACGACGAGGCTGCACCGCACGAAGGTCAGTCGATGCTTTCGATACGCGCCACTCGCGCAATCGTTTCATGACGTTTTCCAGCGTTGTTCGATGCTATTTTATCCATCGACATTCTTATTTTATACAATAATATTCTTTTATTTTTTACTATTCAATGCTCTTGTAGAACATTTCAGAAATATATATTCTTTTTATCTTACGAAATGTAGAATAGAAATTTTACTAATTGTAATAATTTAATGCTGGCATGATATAATTAATTCATACAAAATTCAACGCCTTTTCCGAGGAAAAAAATAAGGATTATCGGTCATATGCACCGGTTCTCTCTTTTGCTGCAGATGCAGCGGGTGCGGTCGGCGGTGGGACGGGGGTTTACGTGGAACAAGTGCCGAATGTGCCCGACACAGAGGCGCAGAAGCAGGTAATGTCACCAATTGTTGATCATTTCGTGGCGTTGCAGGCCGACTTTCAAAAGCAACTGGCGGCCCTCAGAGAACTGACCGATAACTGGCGACTCGAGAAAGATCCCCCGAACAAACTGGGTAATAATAAGTCTGATAATCTGTACGACCGCTCTGACGATGGTAGCACTGTTCTAATCGATGCAAATCTGGTCCCAAGGGCCGTACAACAAGCGCCCGACGTAGCGGGCGATCTTGTTACGCGGCAGGCAACCGTAGATTCGCGGGAAGAGTACTCATTGAACGCTACGAAACCGCTCGAAGACCAGAAGGTAGATGCCGCGTCGCCCGTCGAAATTCCCGCAACAACCGCAGTCGATGATACCGCGAGAAAAAACGCAACGGACTCACTTGCGCCCGATTCTTCGAAAAGTGACGATATCGGCCGTTCCGTTGGAGAAACATCGACGACCGATGGGGACAAAGCTGTCGCACGAGTCACCGAATCCGATCTGCCGAAACTCGACGGAAGCGCGAGCAACGATACTCGGATAAAACCAATCGCGGAGTCGCGCGAAGAAGAGAAGAAGGAAACGCGTGCGGACGCGTTATTGATTAATGAGACTACAGTAGCAGGCGGCGTCGCGAACGCACCGTTGCCGGAAGAAGAACAGGAAAGGTTATCGCCGAATAGTGCCGTGGGTGAAGCATCCTCGTCGCCCGAAGCTTCTGCGCTCGACACAATGAGCACGGAACCAGGTCAGTCCTCTCTACCGCGCCAGAAGACTTTGAGCACTCCTGAATTGCCTAATACGGCGGGAGGGAGCGCCGCGACGGGGAACAACAAGACACTCGTGGAAGTTGGGAAGTCTACGGAATTCAACGGAGCACTTCGGATCTCTTTCGCGGACTCGAGTGCTCCCGGGCAGGTCGATATATCGCAGCAGCAGACGTCGTCGCGGAGCGAGTCCTCGATCGTGGCTACGGCGGGAACGAATGCATCGGAAAAGGACCCTCCTGTGTCTGATCAGCATGTTTTAGAGGAGATTCCCAGACAGGACGAGACGCGCGTCGTGGCGGTGGAAGCTCTGCTGTCCGCCGTGAAATCGCTGCCGGAGCAGTTTCTGACACCCTTCATAACGGCGATGCAAATGCTGTCGCCGAAAAAGCCGGGGGAAGGCGGAGACGCCGGCGTAACTTCTGACGTTCAACTCATGAACCGATTAAATACTTTGCACAGCGCGAAGACCGAAGACTTAAATGGCACTCCTGAGGCTGAAATAATCGACACGGCGGACGATATTAACGAGGAGAAGCTTATTTCGGCGACAATGCCTGAAGACAAACTTCAAGCATCGCAATTGCGGGGGAAAACTGATGAACGCGAGAAGAGCCCCGAAAAATCGAGAAGCAGCAAGACAATCGATAAGGAAATTACGAAATCTAAGGTCCCGCGGTCTCGAATGGCAAAGTCCCGGTCGAGCGTTCCGGATATTAAGCAACAGCACTGGGATGTCAGATCGGTACGTACAGACACGGATGTGCCTAACATTTCGCAGACTAACATCGCAACGGATCTGACACCCGAAACGTTTTCGGATTCGGTGGACTTAAAGTTAAGAGACAGAGACGCTTCCGAAGAGACGCTGACTGCGAATGAAGCGGTCACGTCAGTCGTCGAGGTAGCTGCGCCAACGGCCGAGACGTCGCAAGCGGGCATCGTGAGAGGAATACGTTCACGTAAGAATTCTTTAGAAATAGCTGGGACGCCTGCGGAAAATAATATTGAAGAAAAATCTGCCGTGGGCGAAAGCGTGTCGGCGGAAAGATCAGTTGGAGAAGCGCCCGCAGGTGAATCATCGAGTTCTCATGCGCAATCGTTAACAGCATCCCCAACGTGTAATCAATTTGTCACCCGGGAGTCTGTCGAGCACGCAATCGCATCCGACGATACGCTGACCGACGCGTCATCATTATCATCATCAAAGGAAGCGGAGAACACTTCCGTCGCGTCGAACGAGAGGCTTTTCGCTGATAACGCAGTCATTGATTCGTCTCAAAGTAAAATCTCATCCGCTTCTGTTAATGATTCTAACGCGGAAAAATCTCAGACGCAATCGATAATCGACACGAACATCTCACAAGTAAATCCGATCGTTCACGATTCTCACGCTGATCATTCGCCCATTTGCGAAACGATAATAAACGCGACTAATGAGCAATCCGCGACAAACGATATTAACAAACAAGATAAGGGACAATTAAACGATTCGCCTCACGTTGCACCGCTCTCGTCGACTTTACCTTTCGCAAAAATTCCCCCGTCTATCGAAGTATTCGATAATCTGGAAACGACGTCGCGTCATGATAAAACTGATACAAAGCCAATTGTTGCGAAAAATGCGGTGCACGTTTCAGAAAAAGTAGAACAGACAATTTCGGTCACATATCACACTCCCGTGAACGACGATAAAAATGAAACTACGTTGAAAGAAAACGTGCCCGTTGAGCAAAACGCGACCAATGATTTATCCATTACTCGATTACAAATCGATGAAAGTATCCCACTATTAACAGACTCGCATACGCTAGCCGTGGCGAATTTTAATAATCTCCACGATCGAAAACAGGAAATTATATTTGTCTCGGTGAAATCTGACAGCTCGACGATAGAACAAACGTCGGACGTTCAATCTTTAAAGGATACAGAGGTCGATATTAGTCGCGATGAATTATCCACTCCGATAAATAATCAGAGAATAATTATACCTTTAAACGATCACTTTACACAAGCAGAAACGATGCAACTTTCCGCGCCAGGGAATATCGGTGTCGATGCTCGCTCCGAAAACATTTCTCATCAAATATCAATTACCTCAAATGATCCAAAATTTTCAAAAGACACAGAAATTTTAAATAATAATAGAACCGAATCCGTCGATATCTCTGAAACTTTAAAACCCATTCTCGATGTAGAATCCATTGCGAATACCGAAACTTCCTCCGACGAAAATACACATAATCAATTATACGAATTAACGAATAACAATAATATCTTGAACGATGTGCTTCCCCAATTATCTGCGGGAGATTCCCTTGCCGCAAATTCGAACGGAAACATTTCGTATTCTATCGAGCGCGATGAAAAACTTTGTTTCAAAGACGAAACTTCTCAACCTCCCAGAGATCAAGATACGCGTACATTAAACTCGGCGGCGGGCAGTATCTTGCGAGCGCTGAAAAATTTCAATATATTTTTTACATCACAGACCGAGAAAAAAGATACTTCCTTAACAGTCAATGAAGACTCTTTCGCGGATCCTATTACGACGAATATCAGCGACGTGACGCCTGGAATATCTGATACCTTTGAAATAAAGATATCGGAATCGCCCGTAATAACAGTAAATGATTGCGCGCCGATGAACGAAACCGCAAATATCGTCGAACGCGAATCGGGTCAAATCATAGATGTTGATGCAATCAGCATGGAAAAAGCAAAGCATATTGATTCGGAAAATGAAATTTCAGTCGTCGCACGTAACGAATCAATTGAACCACCGTTAAAATTACCGAATAACGAGTCGATAAGAAAAGACACAAAACAAGTGAACCAATTTGGTAGAAGCGTAATAGCGAAACCTGTCGTCAAACACAGATCGAAATCGCCCCTTAAAAAAGTCGTCCGAAGAAAATCGCCCGTTAAAATAATAAGAAAATCAGCCGGCGTGCCATGGAAAAATTTAACGCAGAAAAGTGCAAGCCCGAATAATACAACTGTCACAAAAGCGAAGGCAACAGCTAATGAAATTACTAAAAATTCGAATCGTGCAACACAGAATAACGAATTGCGAACTAAAGAATCCTTAAAGTCCGTGAGTTATAAGACAAATAGTAAAGCTAAAGCAACCACAAAAACACCAGATAAGTCTATTAAGCCGTTAAATAATATTAATGTGCAAAAAACTGCAGGAGATATTAAAATAAATGATTGTAAAAGAATTTCTACGTCTGATAAAGAAAAAGTACCGATAATTAATAATGCTACTAGTGCCGAATCGCAAATTAAATCAGGAAGTTCGGAGAATAAAAAATTTACAAATTCTAAAAATAAGAAAATTGAAGATGTCCAAAAAGAAAAATCAAAAATTTTAAAAACAACAGCAATAAAAGCTTCTGAAAATAAAAAAGAAATTAAACAAACTACAATTTGCGAAACTAAAATCTGGAAAGACGATAAAATGTCAGTGAAAACACTTTCGACGGAAAAAAATAAAGATAATTCAAAACCTAAATCGTCTTCACCGTCAAAAATACCCGTTTTAATGCACCGAAGAATCGCGCAATCGGCAGATACTATCTCACCGAATTCTTCTAAATTGAGTGATACGTCATCGTTAAAGAGTATATCAACCAAATTGCCAATAGCGTCGCAAGGAGTCTCGAAATTAGCTTTAAAAATTCATGGGAATGCTAACGTATCGAACCTACCAACCATGCGGAAAATCAATTCCAAAGAGAATTTGAAAGCGAATCAAATTAAATCTAGTAATACAAGGGCGATTGAAATTACAGAAAATGCGAAAGACAAGCAAATCTTCGAGGAGAATCATACTAAAGAAAGCACGGTGGAACGAGGCGAGGAGCTTCCGAAAGTTAAGTCAACGGAATCGGAATCGACATTAAACGAGAATTCACAAGCGCCGAGCTCGACGCATAACGACCCGTTCGCGAATCTTAGCGAACAATTGGAAGTCGAAAACGCAATCGAGGAAAGCTCCGATGCTTTCAGTTCCGATTCCGAGTACTCCGGAGAAGGCGAAGACACAGAAACGGCGAAGTATGTTTCTGACCATAATTCGGAATACAACTCCGTCGAGGAGTTCACGGATGCGGAATTGTTGTTAGAGAAAACGCTAAATGAGATAAGGTCTGAAATATCGGATTCTGAGGAGGAGCAGACGAGCGAGTCCGAAGAAAGCGAGGATGTTACTTATTCATACGAGACAGAGAGCTACGATCGTGGTTCCATATCGTTCGAAGGTTCGGAAGGTTCGGAAGGTTCGGAAGGTTCGATTCGAGAAGATGAACGGGAGATTAAGTCAAGTGAACTCGAAGATTCGGAGGAAGAAGGCATGTACGAAGAATTATCATCTGATAAAGAAGAGACGAGCGAACAAGAAATCTCGGAACGACAATTTGAGACGATCGACGAAGAAGTCGACAATGCGGCGCGTAACGAAGTAAATGACACTGAAATCAATATTTCGAACAAAACGGAAAGCATAAGTTTCGAAGTTACACAAGAAGATGGCGGAGATAATTTGAAACCATTGAAGGAAGCTGTCGTGGCAATGACAGAATTAAGTCAGGCGGAAATAACCGCCGAGATCAATGAAGAACTATCAGAAGCGTCTCGGCATCTCGGGACTTCAGATTCGAATATCATTATAACAGATTTGGCGATAGCGTCTTCGGCAGAAGTCGAGGAAAGTACAGAATCTATGGAGGATATTCAGTCGAAAGCGCACGATTCGAAGGAGAATGAAACGAACCTGGAAAGTGCAAACAAAATCCAAGAGAAAGATCAGCCAGCAACGCGGAACGATTTGACAAAGACGTGGAAAGTTGCGAGCGCGAAGCGCGCGAAGATAGGCCGAAGGGCGAGCACGGGTAGTAAAGAGGTGAAATTCGAGAGGGACGACACGTTGAAAGGGGTGGATCGGGCGAGAGCGCCCAGGAAACGATTTTCCCTCGTAGCCAGTTGCATCCGTCGGTTCGAGGGCCAGGAAAATACCGATAGGGCGCACGTGGAAAGCATCATTCGCAAGGGACCAGAATCCCCCAAAGCGGAGCGGGAGGTCAGTAGACGAGAGTTGCCAAGTGGCATGACCCCTTGTAGACGCGTCAGTTGCCAAAAAGTCCCCGCGAGCGAGCAAGTTGCCAAGAACCGACTCTTCCGACCGTTGACAGGCCAATGTCTACAAACGGCTCGAAAACGGGGACGGGAAAACGGGGCCGAGAGCGGCGAACGAGTGTCCCCTAATTCTTTAACCGCGTGTTAGTTGATAATTAATTTAGACATTATAGCGAGATGTTGCTAACGCGAAGGTGAGTATTGCGTGTCTAACTCATTTGCTGTCGGAAAGAAAGTTGTTAATACGTGTTTCGTAAAATATAATGCTTAATTATTTAGGAAATTTAATATTCCTTGTTTTAGGTGTGAAATATCTGAGACATTTTCTATATGCATCAATTATAAACGTGTAATTAATTACCTCATCTCAATAGTTTTACACATATTAAAAGTCTTATTTGTAAAAAATGAAAGTTAAAGAGAGAATAAAGTAGAGCTCGTTTCTAGACGTTGGCGTCGTCCAACTCCTATTTTTTCTTGCATGACAGAGATTTAAATCTTTCAAATTTTTAATCACCGATTAAGTCATCTTTAATCGACATATTAACAAGCAAATATTTTATTTTTTTATAAGTTTAAAGAACAATATTATTTCTCATTATTTATCTATTATTTCAATAAAAATGCCACTTTAAATTGCAACATTTGCATAAAGAAACTTACGAATTGATTTCGGTGTTTACATTTTTAAACAAAGCTTTTCATCTTGGATTGAGATTTGTAGGCGAAACTAGGATTCTTTTCCTATACAATATGTGAAAATTGTACGTGCCGATATTGGAGCGATATTATGTCTGTCACGTGTGCAGAGAATAGCGCGTCGCCTCTTGGCGGAGGGTCGAGCTGCGAATTACGATGAAGCCGAGGTCGCCGCCAGTTTGCTAACCCTCAAGTTCGGTGACGCCGAGGCACTCCAGGCCGCGAAAGAATGTTCCAGCGTGGAATCGGCGCTGGCCTTCCTGCAGCAGGAGTGCGAGCTGTGCACCGGTCGTTTCGCAATGAGTCAAGTGAGTGTCCAGTTGTCGCCGAAACGAGGAATCTGAAAAATGCGGGGAAACTACATAAAAAAGAAGTAAAACTTCTCTCGAGCAGCTCTCCGGGAAGAAAACGTGACTTTTCACAAGATCGTGTCATATTCCTGTTCAGTCTTGTTTCCTTCGCAGATCTTGTCTTATTTCACTTCTTTTTCTTAAATAATAAAGAAACGCTATCGTAACTTTTGTCGTAAACTTTTTTCAAACTTATTCCCTTTGTTAATATTTCTGCAATTCTTTCAGATGGTGTCCATGCTCAAGTGCGTGCATCGCTGCTGCAACGATTGCGCGAAGAATTATTTCACCATTCAGATCAGCGACAGGAATATCACGGACGCCGTTTGTCCGTACTGCAAGGAACCTAATCTCAAGGACGCGACCGAGGACGACGTTCTCGAGTATTTCAGCAATTTAGACATTCAGCTGAAGACCCTGCTGGACCCGCCGATCCACGAACTCTTCCAAAGGAAGCTCAGGGACCGGACTCTGATGCAAGACCCGAATTTTAAATGGTGCATTCAGGTGAGGACTTGATTGCGATTTTTTAATTTGCCACGATGAAGGAAAGGCGATCTATTATTTCGCGGTTTTTCAGTGCTCGAGCGGATTTTACGCCGATCCCGATCAAAAGCGTTTAATCTGTCCCGATTGTCGATCTGTCACTTGCGCCTTTTGTCGAAGACCGGTAAATATACGATGCGTTTCTGCAATTTTCTTTAGACAAAGTCCTGCCTAAGTAATAATTTATTTTCTAACGTGTTTTTTGTTTTTTTTTTAAGTGGGAGAAACAACATGAGGGAATCTCGTGCGAAAAGTTTGCCGCTTGGAAGGACGAGAATGATCCTGACAATCAAGCCGCAGGTTTGGCCAAACATTTGGCCGATAATGGCATCGATTGTCCCAAGTGCAAGTTCCGTTACTCTCTATCTCGAGGAGGTAATAATAATTTTTATTTTTGCTTTATTGCAAAATCTATAAATAAATAATTATTTATAGATGACATATAATTATTACACTTGTTGCAATTTTTGGGTAGAAATATTTTTACCAGAACAGAATATTCTTAAAAGTACTTAGCAATTAATTTTTATAAAAATTATTACATATTAATATACTTTTTTTACCGCCTAATATTTCTAAAAGACTCGCTATTAAATAAAGTTTTGCAAGATACCTATAGTTTATAATTGCGAGTCTTATAAAAGCAATATGCTAATACAAGAATTAATGAACGGTGATTTCAAATATTATCTTAATACATTTTAATATTATGTTATTTTTAATCGATCTCGGATGTGAGTTTGATATCAAGAAAGATATTTTTTCTAAATTATTCGATATGCATATCGCGGATATTTTTCGAAGCTCACTGAAAAAAAAAAACTCGTGAATTTTCATAGGTTGCATGCATTTCACGTGCAGCCAGTGTAAATATGAGTTTTGCTGCGGTTGCGGCAAGGCCTTCATGATGGGAGCGAAGTGCACGGTTAGCCCTTATTGCGCCAAACTAGGCCTGCATGCCCATCACCCGCGCAATTGTTTCTTCTACCTTCGTGACAAGGAACCCGCACAGCTGCAGCAATTACTCCGAGAAAATGGCATCGATTACGACATCGAAGGTCCGATCGGAGAACGCAAGTGCAAAGTGCAACTGCAGAAAGAAACGCCGACCGGAGTCGTGGACGCTGTGTGCAATTCTGATGTCGTCGAAGGTCACGCTGGCCTGTGCAGGTAAGATGCGTATTTGCGATCCTAAAAAGCTCCTATTCCTTGACGTGGTCATGCTTGTAAAAATAAAAAAATTGAACAAAATCAAAAATACTTCCATTGTCAAAATTAGAGAAGCGATATTGCTCTTCCAGAGCATATTTCAAAAAGTTCTATCATTATTTCAAGCAAGCGAATTGTTTGCGATTCTTTCAAGATTTTGATAAAATTTATGGCTCATTGTCTACGGGAAAAGTCATATATCACAGCTGCTTCAGTAATTCTACCAAATCAGAACCGATCAACTTCGCTAAAGAAAATTCTGAGCGGCAAGTTCCGCGGGCGAGTCGACCGGGAGCGACGTTAGAATTTCGCTCACGCGCGACTATTGGGGGGGGGGGGGTAGATCGCTCCCAATTTCGCGGTGATTCCGGGACGCTCACGAGCGATCTCGCGACGAAGCCCGGCCGCCAGCCCTAACGAGATATCCTCCGTGTATCTCCCAGGATTCATTACGTCGAGTATCTCGTTCGAAAGATCCGTTTGACGCAGCTGGAACCGCTGCCCTTGCTAAACGTGGACGATCTCGAAACGTGCGTGCGACGCGCCGGGCGGAAACTGCCCGCGAACTGGTACGGGCGTAACCCGGAGCAATACAAGAACGACCTGGTCGAGGTAAAACGTGAAAAGGGGAACCGCGTGCCGTGGGCATGACTAAAATCTGGGTACTTTTCCCCGCAGGCAGCACTACATTGAGTACTTGGCGGGCCTGGTGCTCAAGGGCCGGCTGGATCCCGTGACGATCTTTGACTTGAACGACGCGAAGCAAGAGTTGCGCCGACGGGGAAAAGTTCCCCCTGCGAAGGACCAGGAAATGTCCGAGCGGGATTATCTCGAGGCGTGCATTCAGGTGACTAACACAATTCCTCCTCCTTCTCCTTCTCCTGTTCCTCTTCTTTCTTTTCCTCTTCCTCTGGTTCTTTCTCTCCTCTCGCATCTCTCTCTCTCTCTCTCTCTCGCTCTCCTGCAGCGACCCACTGACCGAATTAACAGCAGTTGCATGAAAGTAGAATTCCTGCGTGCACGAGACTTGCCAGTCGAAAACCGTAAAAGTGAATAGATTGCTGTGAATGACGCTGCCGAGCGGCCGCACCTGTGTCGTATGCCAATGTCCCGAGCTATTGTCGCATTTACACGCTTTCCAAGTGCATCGTGAAAAATAGGTGAATGAGAAAAAATTAACGGAAAGCATTCTAGAGAGAGATGCATTTTGTAATGTATGTAGTCTAAAATTAATTTTCATATTAAAACAATCTTTTCCAGCTTTTTCTCTAATTTATTTTAATCTACTTATTGGATTAAACATAAATTAGAGAAAAATTTTTCACAAATTTTATACGCCGAGGCAAATATTTTTCCATACACAAAATTTAATTAGATCACTATCATTTATATTTAATGCGAGAATATAATTAGGAAAAGATGTTAAAATTTTGACGAAGCTTGCATTGTTATAAATTCGGATTTAGTGAATAAAGCAGCTATGATTAAAAAAGGAATTTTACATTTGTAAAAAACATACAACAATTTATTAATAGCAATACTGATTCCGGAAATTAAGTGTCTTCTATCGCATGCTGTTTATATGCACTATTTAGAGCGAAATAAAAAAATTTAAAACCTGGCATTATCCCGACATTGTAGATTCGCGCGGCCGTTCGCAGTTTTCCTTTGCGTAAATAACGATTTTCCTATCCTCTGTGTTGCCTTTTTCACGCGGATATCGAAGTAAATAAGGTATACGAGCGGAGTATGTGCCGCGGGAATACATTAAAATTCTACAACTTCAGCGTGCATAAAGTATACTCCGATGTTGCAGGTCGTAAAGCAGGAGATTCCATTGGAGTGACTGTGGAATGGTATTTCGGAAAAAAACGCGCGTGCACCCGAAGTCATAAGTGATAAGAGCGTATTGTATAGTGTATTTATTTTATTTGTATGGACTATAAACGCTAAGTGGAAATAATATAAAATTATAGAATAGATGAAAGAGTGAAAGTGTAGAGCCATAGAACGACACCGACATCACTTTGTCACGAAGCTAAAAATTCATTTATTTTTTAACATAACGTAATGCAAAATGTATACGTTAATTCAGCGATGTTTTATTTGTGACAAAAATATCACAAGACAGAATAGTGTTCATCCACATATGTATCCCGTTGACAATCAAAGATTTACAATAATCAAATGTTCTTTAATGATGGATCAAATAATCATTGTAGTTGTTACAATTAATGTTTGAAAAAAGTGTATTTATCTGTGCTTTGTATAAATATTTTCCAAGAAATAGACGGTTCAACCAAGAACATTACAGTATTCATGTGTTTCTTCTTTTAGTCTTTAAGTCCCAGATAAAAATTTAAGATTTTATGTTCAAGAATAAAAAATTATCAATTAAATACTAAACAAAAGACTGGTTTTAATATCAAAAATGATTATAAATTTGCAAAACCGAAGTTTTTATCTAAATTTTAATAATTAAATTATGCATATTTTAATTTCAACTATTTATTTTAAAAAATATTGCTATACACTATACACACTTTTTAGAAATATTTACAATTTTATAAATATTTATACAAAATCGAAAATATTACCTATCTATAATTTCACAGTTCTGCTAGAAAATTGCGCAAGGTTTTTCTATTTGTAGGTGTTGCATTATTTTCCATGATATGCTTTAACCGTTCTATACTCAATTTCTTGGATTTTTTAGTAGAAATAGACAACTTTGTGTTACTATTTATTTTAGGTGTAATCATAGATGATTTGGTAGATGTTATACTATTATCTTTTTTATCAAATCGTGATTTAGGTGTACAACTGGAAATATTCAAACCGGAAATATTCAAACCAGCAGTTTTGTCTCTAGATTTCTTCTTTTTCTTTTTGTGCTTAAGATTAGTTTGCGGCGTCTCTATCTGAGAATTATTTAATTTAATTGGCTTTGGTCTGCTTTCTTTTTTGAATGACAATTCAGTATTTTTAGAACAAACCGAACACTTAATGACCAATTTATTCATCTCATTTTTTATAGATTTCTGTGCCAAAGTAGCACAAACTTTTGGGATCTTTTGGTTTGGATTTTCATTCATACGCTGTATAATCTTTTTCACTGATTTAGACATTTTTCTACCCCGTGATATCCGAACTTGATGATCAACAGTGCTCCAAAGTGATCCACAATGCGAACACATTACTGATGGTCCAAAATTTTCCTTTGGTAATTCCACTGCATTACGAAGACGTTTACATTTTTGCCTGGAAAATACATAAAGAAGATTAAAAATACTTTTCTATATATTGATGTATTTTAATACAATTAATTAATTCATATTTATTAAATATCTAAATTTATAGTATAATTACTAAGAATATATAATGTAATAATTAATTCATATGTATTAAGTATCTAAATTTATAGTATAATTACTAAGAATATATAATGTGATAATTAATTCATATTTATTAAATGTCTAAATTTATAGTATAATTACTAAAAATATATAACGTAATAATATAATAATATAAAGATATAATCAGAAATAAATTAGAAATAGCACTAAATACAATATCATTTAATAATCTAATATTTTCTTTCATCTATTAAATAAACCATGCAAAAACTTACATGTAAAATGTTTGCAATTCCGTAGTCAAAGGACTCTTCAGCTTCGTCATAAACTGATTGACATTCCACAAATGTTTAATAGTCTCCATGATTGTTATAATAACCGGTGAAGATGTTTCCTATATATGTTGCAAACATATATGCTATGATTATTCAATCATGTTTCACTTCCGCAGAGAGTCCACTGCACACTCCTCATAAAATTACAAATAGACAACACGTGTGCATATATCAATTCTGCTGACTCAAAACGTTCGATGCCTCACTGATATGTGCTGATGATAAGCGGATTAATTAGGTTACGTTTGATTATTAGTTCTTTGTGCCGTATCTTTTAAAAGACACAAGCGTTCATTATAACCAATCTCTTTTCCGCGTATATTTACCGTATTAGTCATATCACATATGGACACCATCCGGCCGCAATGCAGCCAACATAAAAAAAATAAATACATCACTGACGTTCCAAAATGCATCCATTAAGGACTCGTTTCAGTTGCACTTCCGACACTCTTTCGCACGAATTTTATTTACCTTCTTTTTTTCACCAACGTACTTCATTGTATATCTATCTCACTTTAAATGCGAACCGCCTAATTTGGCGCAACCGAAAAGAGCAGATCGACAATGCGGCGCGGTGATGTCGTTTTCCACTCTATATCCGCGTGACATTATGGCGAAAGATTTCGTACCTTGTCACCCTTGTCATCGATGCACCGGGAGTTGTTCTGTCAAACAATAAGAGTGGATAGTTGTCGCATTGTAGCAGTGAATTGATCCCATTGTCGTTCGACATGGGAGACGGCAAGGAGGGCGAACGGCAGCCGTTGCTGAAAAATAAGAATATTAGCGTCACCGATACAGCGTATAGCTCGCAGAGCGATGCGATCGGTATAAATACTGCAATAAACTTTGCCGAACGATGCGATGTTTCTTCGTTGCTGAGAAAAGCTGTTGTTGACATGTTTCAGACGAGACGCAATCCACAGTCAACACCGTCTCCCCGATCGGACCGGACGAGCTGCCGCCGCCTTTCCAGTCCGCCAGTCAGGGTGGTATGCCAATGGTCACCTGCAGAGTTTGTCAGGCGATGATAGACATTTCTGGCAAGAGAGATCAACATGTTGTCAAATGTTGTCAGTGTAACGAGGCTACAGTATGTTTAAATATTGTTGTTATCCACATTTGTTTTTGTACAGTGTTAATATGTGTTGCTTTGATCCTTTCCTTATTACAGCCCATACGGAATGCTCCACCTGGCAAGAAATATGTACGATGTCCGTGTAATTGTTTACTTATATGCAAGAGCTCTTCGCAACGTATTGCCTGCCCAAGGCCAAATTGTAAACGTATTATCAATCTGGCACCAAGTCCTATTACTCCACCAGTTCTATCCATGCCAGGCATGTGCAGGGTAGGCTGTGCTCATTGCCATGATACATTCTTGGTAAGTTATCAAAGATACTACAAGAATTAGATAAGATACCGATTGAACAAGTAATTTGTTGATCTTTATTGAAACGTTTATTTTTCAGTTCAATACATTAAATAATGCTTTGGCTCGATGTCCACATTGTCGTAAAATATCTTCAGTTGGCCCAGACTTTGCCAGAGGAAGAGGGATTGTATTTATTATTGTTGGGATTATAACATTAATAATTGCTATAGGTGTAACAGTAAGTATTCAACTCAAATTGCTTATATCCTATTATTATCTATGCAATACTAATTTTGTGATATGCATTATTAAAAGGTTGGGACCTACAAATATGTAAAAACGAGTGGTGGGATTTATGTAGCTTATGTTGGTAGGTATAAACAAGGCTTCTCATATTTTGCTGAGTAGCCATGATTAATTCTCGCTACTCAGCTGTTCCGCTTCTGTTCCACTGCACGTGCAGCTAATGTCTGATTTATATTTTAGGTGCATTTTTACTGGCACTTTTGTGCTTGGGACGCAGCATTTATTACTGTACAATGAAAATCAGTTTGATAGAGGGTCCTATGTAGTCTCCCAAATAATAATGGACAACCAATTATTCAAAAACCGATCCCATTAAAATGAATGTCATATAATCTATTTAGATCAAATGTTTATAGTAATGTGACATTTCAAATCCTTTTTAAGGAAAAGCGATAGTTGTGTACACATGGCCATATGTGCGTGTGCAGACCTGTATTGTTTATCATCATAATGCATGTATAATCTTGCATGTATTCTTACATAATACGCATACACACATGAACGTGTTTCGCGATCAGGAAGAAAGAAAACGTTTACGACGCTTTCCTCAGGTAAAATAATGACCGTAGGAAAACAAATCTCTCTTGGAAGCCTGTATTTTATGAAGAATTGTTCCTCTGCACTTTTATATATGCAAGCATAGGACCAATAACATATGGGCTCCGATTTTTATTTTCAATCTACTGACTAGAATACGCTCTATATATACATGCTTTCTACATCACATCAAACACACTACACGTATTAAATGCACACAAGTAGAATCAAAGTGCAAACGTGCTCATATTATGCGTATATATACAATAAGTTTTACAACCCATATATAAGTCTATGCGAACTGTGTTTTTAAATTTGTTCTTACATTGTTTAATATACAAACACCTGTATCGAAGATATAAGAAGATCGCATGATTTCAAATAAATTTCTGGTTTCATATGGGTTTTGGTATATAAATTGTGTAGGATAAAAATGTATATATTAATTATAACAATATTAGACAATGCAATTAGACAACACGAATCCAAATATTATTGTTAGGTAAAAAATGCTGTGCAATTCCAAAATTCTAACTGTCACCGAAGTTATTGTAAGGTACACACGGGTTGACTTGATCAGTCATAAAAGTAAAAATATATTTCTTTTAGTATTAGTTGGCGCTTTTCATCTTATAGTTCATAAAAATTTATAGTGTTCTTCCCTATATAAATTTTCTTATAATAAAAAATATGTTATTACACAAATAAATTTCGTTTAATAAAATTAGTCTATTTGTTTACTATATAAAACTGCATATTAATTTTTTCGCACAAATTTAGGAAATATCTGATTGTTTTAAACAATTAGTATATTTTTAATTTATAATTATATAATTATACCAAATTATAGACTAAATATAGTTTTGTAGAGTACAGGAACATTTGTGTATCCGTTTAAAATTGCCGCTAAGATGTAGGGAGAAAGTCCCTAGTATTGCGACACACGAAACAGCTGATTGCAGAAATTGACGAAGGTGAAAAATCGTATCAATTAGAAGGTTACTGAAAAGTATGTAAAAAGGGTTAAATAATAACTGTGTCATTGTCTGAGTGACATTCAACTTAGAGAGATTTAGAGAGATTTAAATAATAAAAAGAAATACGGACGACGAGAGCTGTATTTTCAAATGTAACAGATGTTTGTTGTAAGAAATGTCACAAATTGATATCCAGGATTTATTTAACAAAACCAGGTAAGATATTTTTCTATAAAGAATGTCGAGCTGTAATAATCCAGTTTCAATATTTTGATTGTAAAATAATTATAAGTTAATTGAAAATTGTGAAAATGTTAGAAATATTTTTATAAAAAGATATTTTCTTATTACATAAAGAGTATTGTTAGAAAAGACATTCAGGAAAAAATCAACATTAAGACTTTTATTACTATAATTGTTATCTAAGCTTATGCAATATTCAAGTTTAATCAATTATGATATAAATTTAGGTTTCCCAGTGGTTTGCGACTTCTAACTGTAATTTTATATTCGCCGTTTGGAGTTCTGCTTGTGTTATTGCGACTATTGATAACGTTACAACTTTGGCTCTTGGCATCTCTGTTGCCTGATTGTAATCCTCTGCGAAAATACTTAAGTTACGGCATTAGAATTGTCTTTGGCATTATAATTAAAATTGATACTGAGGGCGAACTCAGAGACAAAAAGTCAAGAATAATAATTGCTAATAATGTATCCGTTCTTGATCACTTTGCTCTTCGTCAAACAACAGAGACGCTAACTCCCAGTGTATGGGAATTACCTGCTGCCCTGAGTAATGCCCTAGGATTACAAAAAATGGATATGAGTAGTAAAGAAGTGTTAATTGACAACATAAAGCACTTTCTCTGCACGTCTACATATAGCGTCGCTATCCAACCTGAGTTTGGCACAACCAATAGCCGAGTCGCTCTACTGAAGTTCAATTCTTGGCCGTTTAGCATAGAATCGTGTGTCCAGCCAGTTGCTATCAAAGCATCAAGACCAGAATTTGTGTCTGTACATATTACATCATTGGCTTCAACATGGTGGATAGAAGTATTCTGGTTTATGTTCGTCCCTTATACAGTTTTTACACTCAAGTACCTGAAAATCAAGCAAAATCCTGATCACGACATTCTTGTGCGAGAAGTGGAAAAAGATATTGCAGATGCTTTGGGAATTCAAACAAGTTCTCATACTGTGTCAGATAAAACGGAATATGAAAAGCGCTATCGTATGGAGAGAATACTCAGTAACACACGTTCTACTAGAAATGCGCCAAACTCACAAGTTAGCCATAGCATAGAAATACAAAGGATGGTTCGTCAAGTCAGCGAAGTACTTCCAATGGTCCCACATAGTGTGATTCTCCGAGATCTTTGTACGTGTTACATCGTACTGGCTACATAGCGATTTTTTTTAATTATATTTAACTGCTTGTTGAATATATTTATCTTTATTACAGTGAAAACTCGAAACATTGATGTTACAATCGCCAACATTCTTGATGGCATAGTTACTTATACTCCAGATCCAAATCCATCAGCCCATTCGTCTGTAACGTCCAGTGCATCCTCGAGTTCCACAAAGGATAAGATTCTGGGAACTTCATCCTTCCAAGAGAAGAAAATTAAGATGATACAAGAAGCCAGAGAAAGGTATATTAAAAAACATGGACTGACAAATTGCTGACATTCTTACTGCTGTTTTATTCTGGTTATAACACTGTCATTGACAACATGTATCCAACATGTTTTATTGTATATGTATTATACATACTATTATCATGTGAATATATATCTTTATTTCTAAAATATGATCATATAAATTATACGCAAAAATACCTATCCATTAAAATCATAAATAGTGCTTTGCAAATTTTCTCTCTAAATATAATATGTAATATATATATATGTAAACTATCAGTGTTATCAACAATAATAACGGAACTATGCACTTGAGCAGGAGGGGATCAAGTCTCCTATATCAAATTATCAATTATTTCATTATAGATAAATCGAATGTCACAGGCATACTTTTAACTTTTTCTTAACTGTATATATTTTTGACTGTATATAGACAAAAATAAGAGTATAATATTTGTTTTATCGCGTACGTGCATTTATAACTTTTAAAATTAAAAACGAATGAAAATAATAGAGGATTTTTTGATGAATTTAACGATGTAAATAAATGTAATAAAATTTATTTACACCGTTATCTTTTTTTATAGAAATCTAAATGACTTTTTGACACATTAATCTGATTAACAGAAGTTTATTGATAACAGAAAATTTGTATCAATAATTAAATCGTCAAAAATATGATTTAAAATTTGTCAAAAAAACAAATTGGGAAAAAGTGCACAATGCCTGTAACAGATCATAGATAGATTATAATATATTCTCATGTTAAATGGTTCTTGTATATATATTGATGTATTTAATATTTTTCATGGAGTTTCTCTTGTATCTAATAACTACGAAATACAATTAAAGTATATTATATATTTCTTATAGAAAAAATATATGAGGGTACAGGAAAATGTCTTATACATTTCTTATATATAAGTGTACACTCTCTCTCCATTCACAAAGTTTGGAAGACTTGTTTTGTACTGTAATATGTTATGTAATATAGAAAATGTGAAATTTATATATATAGAAAAAATAGATTAATAAAATAAAATACAGATACTTTTATAATCTAATGTAATTAAAATATTGCATTTTGCAAAAAACTAAATATTTACTATTCTCAATTATTACATATCACTTAACGTTTATCATTAACATTATAGTAAACAATAAATCGTAAAACATACAACTCTCAATAAGTGTATATGATACATATTAATAAAGCTATTTGAGTTTAAAAAATTAAGATCAAACAAACGAAATCAATAAAGTATATTATTTCCAACATTTATTTTATAAAAAT